GCTGCTCAATAGATCACAGAGACACACACACAGACACACATACACACAGACACCACACATTTAACAATAAAGTAACAAGATTTTAGAAGTTCCCTATGTGCTGCTCAATAGACTACAGACAGACAGACAGACAGACACACACACATACACACACACACACACACACACACACACACACACACACAAATAAACTAACAAGGTTTTAGGAGTTGCTTTCCTGCGGCTCAACAGATCCCACAGGAAAGATGCCGATCTCTCAGCTACCATCTGCTGCAGATAATTTTCTCTCCTACTCTTTTGTCTGTTATTTTAAAAACTGGATTTTTTTAAAAATTTACTTTTGTCTCATATGTTACATTACATCCTGACTACGATTTTCCCTCCCTCGTCTCCTCACTCCCCAAACCCCCATCCACTTCTCCATTTCTCTTCAGAAAAGGGCAGGCCTCTCATGGATATCAACCAAACAAGGCTAACTAGCATGGCTAGCTTTGCACTCTGATCTTCAGGCAAGCTGTTAGATCGTAAACGAAAACATCGCCACACTCCCACCCAATGCTGTGTTCTCTCTTGTTGTTCTTTTTATATCGATCAAGTCCAGCTTGTGCTCCCTGTAGGTTCTCAGACGCGTGGCTCTCCACCAGACATGGTTGACTCACCATGGGCTGCAGTCTTGAAGCAAACTGACTTCCTCACCCTCCCATCATCTACCAATGCTCCCACCTCCTTAGCTAGGGGGTGGAGCTTCGTGCCCACCTCCCTATCTATGCTGGGATTTGGTCTGGCTAGAGCTTGCACAGATCTTATGCTGGGATTTGTTCTGGCTAGGGCTTGCACAGATCTTATGTGTATGGTCCCAAGGGCTGTGAGTTCATACAAGCAATTACTCTGCTCTGTGCAGAAGACACTGTTTCCCGCAGTAATTCACAAACTCGGCCTGCTACAGTCTGTCTTCCCCATCTCTGAGCCTTGGGAGGACTGGGTGTGACACAGCTGTCTCATTCAGGGTTGAGAACTCAGCGGTTTCTCATTCTCTGCACATGACCAGCGGCTGTAAGTTTCTGTAGTTTATGCCATCTATTCAGAAGCCTCTCTGAGAAGTTCCAGTGGACTAGCTATTGTGGCCCGAGGCTTTGTCTCTCTATTCTTGCTGCAGTGTCATACTGTTTTAACTATTGACTAAGGTGGTTGCATAATTTAGCAAACAAATAAATACTATTGCAAGTGACTTATGCTCGGTTAATAGGAGAAAAACCTGGATTGTCCTGGGCAAACTGGTGCATAGGTTACCCTATGCAAAGCCTATATAGCATGGCTTTATGATGTACTTTCACATCTGATAGCACAAAATTCTCCTCATTACTTATTTTCAAACCACTCTCTTTTAGGAACAAAACTAAGCAGAGTATAGTGGTGTTCAGACAACCATGGTTGTACTTCATACGAAATACAGTTTCCTCGATTTAAACGGGCAGATGTTCATCCTGACTTTTGAGTTTGGGGAATTTATGGTCACGTCTGCGACTTTCTCCCTGAGCTGGTTAGCACGAGGCTGAGGCGTCTGCACAGGACCACTTTCTGCTTACCTCCACTCATCTTCCTCTTGGTCTCCCATGTTATTAACTGGCATGCTTAGTTTTCCCCCAGAACTTTCTAGCTAACTATGCTTTCAGGTACCATTTACGTCTTCCCCTTTATGCCATTGCATTTTCTCACACATCTGCCTGCTCCTGGAGGCAGCCTCTTTGCTAATTAGTTCAGGGCAGCGAATTGAATTTCAACATAGCCTCAGTTCAGTTTGTTCCCAAAATGAAGGGCGTGTGAATTCTTGCCCATATGATGGCAGGCCCAGGAGTGGATGGAGGAACACAGGCCTTTCCCCACAAACCACGCAGCAGAGGCCTTCTTGGAGCCCATGGTGCTTCTCTTCATGGCAAGGGGCTGCTACTGCTTATTTCGTAACAGTTAATAATCACCTCACCTTGGAGCACTTACATTATCGCATGAAGATGGGTGGGATGGAGCTCCTTCAAGGCTGCAGTCCACCCCCCCCCACCCCGTTCCTCTATGAAGCAATGCTATAACCCTTGCTTTCCCAGGGTTATAAGAACACAAGGAAGCTGTTCAGGGAGTGTTTGTTTAAAAGGTTTTCAATGACTTTCCAGGCAGTAGCCACCATCGTGCTTGCCATTTGTGGTATTAGCTTTAATTTGTTTTTGCTAAGTGGTACTAATTTTAATTTGTTTTTAACTAATAAAAACATTTGGTAAAGAAGTGATATCCCTGATGCAACAAGGACTTAAGAAGAGTCTAGTGGCTAATCCTTGAACTTCATCTCAAGAGTCGGTGGTGTTCTGTTTCCTTTGGTTTTGTTTGAGGGGGTGCGTCTTGTTTTTGGCGTCTTTCCATCCTTTCAGTCTACCCTACTCCCCGTCTAGGTGGTTGCCACTGTTCTTGTCTAGCTTTGGCACTGTGTGCCTTCACGCCTGACCCCATTTGTTAAAAGCTACAATTCCATTTTCCTTTGGCACGGGTCACCACCCCGCTTGTTTGAAGGATTCCTTGCCAACACTAGCCACACCTGACTCCACAGGATCAAGGTCCTCCTTTGCTAATTCATAGAGTCCCCAGGCTACAATGTAGTGTTTCCAAAGCCTTTTGCTACTAGGTTGTTTGTGGCTGGGAGAAGATTTTCTTAGTTTAGCTTACAGCAGTGCATCAACTTGATATTTATGATTTTCTTTTCCTTTTTTCTTTTGTGGAGTAAAGGGGCCTTAAGTGTTGATGTTTGAGACCTTTTGCATTTACCACATTGCCCTCTGGCATCTTGGTTTATGAGTGGCCCACTTACTCTTTTTATTCGTTTCGTACATACCACGTCCGAGCTTCCTTCTTATCCTGGTAAACACACAATTCTTTAATATTAATGTAATACATTGTGTCCCTCTATCCAGTTCAAATGCAACATACCACAGTGGTTTGCTGAATTCACAGATAAAATAAGAATGATCAAAATCTAGCCATATTCCCCAGACTGCCCGAGGCCCATGAGGTTCTTGCTGTTTAAGGGATAATGTGGGTGAATAGGGCGTCATTAAAACACCATCTTCAGAGATCACAAATGTGTTATGTGTGTGTGTGTGTGTGTGTGTGTGTGTGTGTGTAAGTTGGAAGGGGGAGTTGGATCCACAGGAACTAGAAATACAAAGAATATTGAGCCACATGACATGGGTGTTGGGAAGAGATCTCAAATCCTTTGGAGAAGCAGGACTATCTCGAGGCCACCTCTGTCCCTCATGATGGCAGAGATTCTGACAGGTTGTCTCCTAGAAGGTGGCTTCATTCATTCAGTGTGTGTGTGAGTTTGTGTGAGTGTGTGAGTTTGTGTGTGTGTGTGAGTTTGTGTGTGTGTGAGTTTGTGTGTGTGTTTGTGTGAGTTTGTGTGTGTGTGAGTGTGTGAGTTTGTGTGTGTGTGAGTTTGTGTGTGTGAGTTTGTGTGTGTGTGAGTTTGTGTGTGTGAGTTTGTGTGTGTGTGTTTGTGTGTGTGAGTTTGTGTGTGTGTTTGTGTGAGTGTGTGAGTGTGTGAGTTTGTGTGTGTGTGAGTGTGTGAGTTTGTGTGTATGTGTGTTTGTGTGTGAGTGTGTGAGTTTGTGTGTGTGAGTGTGTGAGTTTGTGTGTGTGTTTGTGTGAGTTTGTGTGTGTGTGAGTGTGTGAGTTTGTGTGAGTGTGAGTTTGTGTGTGTGTGAGTATGTGTGTGAGTGTGTGAGTTTGTGTGTGTGTGAGTATGTGTGTGAGTGTGTGAGTTTGTGTGTGTGTGTGTGTGTGTGTGTGTGTGTGTGTGTGTGTGTGTAGGCCAGAGGTTGACCGACCTTCAGGGTCTTCCTCAATTGCTCTCCACCCTGTGTTTTGAGACAGGGTTCCTGCTGCACCTGGAACTCACCCAGCCAGCAAGCTCCAGGGATGGATCCAATCCTCCTGTTTCCACCTTTCCAGGATGGGGCTTGCGGGTGGGCGTAGCACAGACAGCTCTTTACGTGGGGGTTGAGGGTCAAATAAAGAATCTGGGCTGTGCACGTTACCAACTAAGCCTTCTAAGGGCACAGAGAAGGGTCCCACAGAAAGCATGCGATTGAATGAGTGGCAAAACACTCTGGAAGCAAACCCACACTGTAGACAGTCCCAAGTGTCTGAGGCTGAGTAGAAGGACTTTTCACCTCCCAGTATCTTCTTGCAAAGTTACCAGGAAGGCCCACCTTCTAGCATGCTGTGACCCAGATTTCGTTTTCCAGCGCTAAGCCTTTAGACTCTTGCTTTCCTCTGCACCAGCTTTGCCAAAGGTGGGTCAGTTTGGAAACAGCTTATCTGGGACTGTTCACTGCAGGAGGTCAAAAAGACTCCCACAAGGAGCTTAGACACGCCTTGTTGTAACACAAAGAAAGGTGAGTGTTCTTCGCCTCCGGGGTGCCTGAACTCTAGGGTGACTGTGGGGTTCAGGCTTTAGGGTATCAGGTCTGGTCCTTCCAGCAGCCACCTCTAACACTTACCTTTCCCCATAGAGGAGCGAGGGTCAGAGCGATGTGATTCAGCCCGGGGATCCCTCTGAAGTAAGGCTCTCTTTGTAGGACCCCTGGTTGCTATTGGTCCTTTAGGAAGCCTTTTGGTGGCCTCTTAAAGCCGGCCACCCCATTGCACTAGGTCCCTAACCAAACTTCTGCAGACCTCCTCGCCGGGGCAGCCCGGGCTCTCTACTGCACCGATCTGATCGGAGCCTGGCCGGCGGGGGGCGCTCTCCCGTGGGAACTTGCAGACTCACCCGGCCGGGCGGGACCAGGCCGCCCCTCCACCCCCACCCCCTTGCCTGGCAAAGTTGCCCGGGACTCCAGGGCGTCGCTGCGGACGCTGGAGAGCAGGCGCTCGGCTCTGCCTGCTCCACGTCCTCCACCGCTGGCCGGCCGGAGCCTGGTCGCCCCGTTGCCCCTTCGAGCTCCCCCGAGGGCATGCGGCTCTGGGGCGAGCAAGAGCGGTGAGTGGTGAGTGCGGTGCGCGGCCAGGGATGGGGGTTCCCAGCAGGGCTTTTTCGGGGTTCTCTGGTCTCCAATCCTCTCTAAACTCCTGGGAACGGAACTTTCCCCGCCGTGTGTGGCGTACCTTACCCTTTCCCACTTCGTGTTTCCCAAGAGCAAAAGTCAAGGCAGATAGATGCAAAAGCCTAAAAGCCGGGCTGCATCGGCCTTGGCTCTGAGCTGGTTGGCAGGGTGCAGGGACACCCGGCTCCATCTCCATCACGCTGCGCTTTGCAGGGGCATTTCTTTCCAAACTCCGTGGAGTCTGTCTGGTGATGGAAGTGGGTCCTCCCCGGGAGTCCTGGGAGGTGACATTTTCCACGTTACAGTTTCATTGTGGTCTGTCTGTTGGTAAAAGCGGGAGCTGAGTGCAGGCAATCCTCTCAAGATTTGGAAAATAGTCACTCTGTCCAGCTCCGACCAGTAGTGAGGGATGAGCCAAAGGTCTCTGGGATCCCTTTCACCCCCAGGGAGGGGTAGGGTGGGACAGGAGTGCTTTGTTTTTGTATCAGTTTCTTCATTGCCTTCTCTGTGCAAGTTGCACAGATAGCAAGTTGCTATCAGAAATTGCTTAGAATTTTCTCAGGCTTGTGATTTGAGGACAGAGTTTTGCAAACAATTTAGTCTTATTAACATGATCATAGAAAGGGCCGCCCAGAGCACTTAGAGATCAAATTGTAAATAAAATAATTTCCCCCAAATGCTCCTCTCATAAAATTTGCTTCTGTCATTGTAACAGTTTTGTCCTGCCTAACTCTTGATCTTGGAATGTCACATCAGCAGTAAAAGACTCAGCTTTTCAGGTTTTCTCCATGTAGTTTGTAAATCGGAGGATAAAGTGAATGTCGTCCTAGCCAAACTCTTTGCAAGCAGGTGAACTTTGCGTACATGCCCAGTCTTTCCTTAATGCAGAGTACCTGAGTTGCTAAAGAGAGTTCTGGGTCTACCTGTGGTTGTCAATCCTGCTAACAGGGAGGTTTGGGTTCAAGCCTGTCTGATGGCTTCAGTGAGCCCAGGGAACCAGGGACAGGAACTCCTCTCCTCATTCCCAGCAGGAATGATGCTATTGGAACAGGCTTGACTCAGTTAATATAGTTTGTCCAAGCAAACTGGGCCATCCTAAAACGTACTGCTAGCAAACCCTGTCAGTTAGGTGGGTCCTATCCCTTGAGACCCTGTGTCCCTGGACATTTAACCATGGGGACAATATTTGCACTGTAATCCACATAGCCAGTGAAATACATTGTTTAGAATTTTTTCCTATTAATATTTTTTTTCTATTCTTCAGTATTCAAAACCTTGATGCTTTCTTTGATCTAGTGACAAATAAAACTTCTAAATTTTACCAAATGCATTCAGCAATTGCAAGTCTTTATATCAGATCAGGTCTGTTTTGGTCTGGCTGTTTTATAAGATGTTTAACAGAACGGATCTGTACAGGTTCTCATGAAAGGAAACTTTAAAGTATTTAGTGGTTTTTTTTTATGTACTTCATCTGAATTCAAGGTGCTACAATGCATTAATTTCTCCCTCTCCCTCTCCCTCTCCCTCTCTCTTGCAGAATACACAGGCACAGGTGTGCACACACAGTTGAAGAGCCAGGTAGCAAATAAAGCTAACTCCCTGGAAGTTGAACCCTCATGCCTAAGAGTATCTCCTTCCCTAAGCTCCCCAGCTTTCTCTGAGGGTCTGCAGCCACCATGGCTTAAGCCAGCCCCTTATTTCTTTGGGCTGGGGCAAGGAGAAATCACTGTAACTCGGGTATGAATTGCTGTAACTCAAATAATCCATTAGTCACTCTCCTTGGCGTATATATTAGTTCAAATGCTTTCTGGCTTGTGATTATACCCCAGAAAGTGGTTAAGTCTGATTGTAAGCTTCTAAATGGCCCAGGCCAGACTCAGGCCATTATTAGTGTGGCATAAAGGGAGGGACAGACCTTACAGCCGGTCCAGCCTTTGTTCTAGCTGGCATTGTGACCATAAGCACATTGTTTTGCTTCCCTGTAAAACTGAAGATTGCATTCAACTCCCAAGATTTAAAGTGAATGCAAGAGGGTCCCCAGAATACAGGAAGTATCAAAATGGTGCCTGGCCTTTCCCTCCTAAACGTAAGTGCTGGGGTCCGTGTAAGCCTGGCCACACTCGTCCCCTGTCCCAGTGAGAGTGTGCAGAGGTTTCAACCGCAGGTGACTTAACTGCACACATTTCTCTTATGTGATACCCATCCCTGGACATGAGCCTTGGGTTAGTTTCTGTTTTCGCAGCCGCAACCACGCTACTGACACCAAGCTATTCAAGGGAGGAGAGACTTGGGTTGTTTCATGATTTGAAGGCCCAGCCCGCTATGGTGGCACGATCTGGAGCAGACGGCTGCTTGCTCACATGTGGAGGAATCGGGGCGCAGAGAGGGGACAGGGAACAGGGCTGTAAGTCCTCCCTCAGAAACACTCCTCCTCCAGCCAGGCCTCGTCACCACAACCCCCAGAAACAGTGCCCGTGGGAACATTTCTCATCTGCAGCAGGCCTTTCCACATGTGTCTAGCACTCTACAGGCAGTGAGCTTTCTTCTCTCTGATCTCGACCGAACATCATCCTCATTCTGGATTCTGTGTGTAGGCGGGAACATTTGGCTCCACCTTGAGTGTGAGGGGAGGTGGTGGAGTCAGGAAATTGTCCTCAATGTGGGGGGGTCACCTTTCAAAGACCACCGGAAAACGCAGATATTTATATCACATTGCACAACAGGGACATGATTACAGCTATGAAGTAGCAATGAAAATGATTTTATGGCTGGGGCAGCCGCACGTGAAGACTGTATTAAAGGGGTTGCGGCATTAGAAAGGTTGAGAACCCTGGCCCAGAGCTTGTGCTTTGTAAGTGATGGGCTAGAGGTGTCTGGCTCTTACCGAAGCCTCATCTCTGTGGGATCTGTGACCTTGTCACATTTCAGTTGGTTTGGTAATTTATATGATGGGGATTATAATTCCTTTCTCGGTTGCCTGTGTGGGTTAGTGACAGGTCCCGTTAAATCCTATGTGTAAGCATTGTACTTGGGGGAGCTAATAATGGTAGTAATTAAAGAGGCTGGGCATCCACATGTGGACATCCTGGGCATACAGATGTGGACCATCCTGGGCAGATTCACTCAGCACTGTTGAGATGAGTGCCAGAAATCCCATGTGGGTGTCTTGAGGATGGAGTGGATATCAATGCCATCTCTCCTGCTCTTTGAGGCCATACTAGACTTCAGGGAGGAAATTGAAGCGGAGCTTAAGAAACTGCTTTGTGAGGAACTGCAAGTTAATCACTGAACCAAGATTACTAAACAGCATGCAAGGGAAGGCACAGAGCAAAGTTCCACGCTGCTTTAAATGTAAAAATTTCTGTCACCTCAGTTCCTGGTGTATAAAACCCAAGGGCTAGTTACCCTCCAGGAAGAGAGTGGGGGCAGCAGTTGTTAGCCATGCTGGACATGGCCCTGAACTCCTACACCATTCTCTCGGCCCTGTGACTTCCCAATGACTGAGTTTATCTTGCAAAGTGATAGCATGCCTCGAGCCCAAACCCTGGGCAGTTTAATTATGTCTCTCAGTCAGAAAGACCAATGTTACTCACCACCTGATCATGAGCCAAGAGAGTAGAACCACCTGAGGGAAAGGTCCCAAGGTCCTGGGTTGTAGCCACCTCCTCATCATGGTCCTACCCCTAACTTGTCCTGTTTGCCTATAGTTTTCAACTGCTCTTCTGCTCATGACCCCTGATGTCACCTCATTCTCATAATCCCTGTCTCCTCTTATCAGACGTGACAGGCTATGTCTCCCACCAGGACAGCCAGCCATATCCCTCCTAAGACTGATAATCAGGCCCCTAATTGCTCATCTGACAGTTGTATGTCTTTGTTGTTCCTGGGGCACTAGGCTGGGTGGGGTGGGGGAGAGGTCTTCCAGCCCTGATTTGACCCAGCAATGTGCTGATTTGTGGACTTATAGTGGCAGGGCTGGGTTGGAGGTCCAAATAGCCCTGAAGACATGTGCAGGTTTTCTCAAAGGCCTTCAAGCAAATGGACAGTTTTAGCAGAAGCAGTGATAATGTTTTATGAATGAAACTTTAGGACAACCCCTTGACCTCTCTTCAAAACTCCAGTCATGATTATTAGCGGAAACAATGCAGAATAACATTTCATCCTCAGTTTCTCACAAGGGCACGTGTAGCTCACTGACAGTAGGAAATGCTCACGAGTCTCCTTTGCAGTCAATGTGTTGACTCATATGTCTGCTTTTGTTTTGATGCTCGGATTGTACTCACTGGAGATTCTGTGATGGTTGCTCTTGTGTTTTATCATTGATTGAGCCTTCCTTCCTTTTCCTTTTCTTTCTGTCCTCCCCCCCCCCCCAATGTGTTCCAGGCTCATCTCGTACTTTTTCTAAACTATTTCATCTTCTCTTGGAGTAGATAATGCCATTTTCTCCTTTGACAACTGTACACTTAAGGGGTTTGATGCGATACTTTGATATACTTATCTCAATACACATACACATCATAAAATGATTGCTACACTTAACCGAACTCACATGCTTCCATCTCATACAGTTGTATGCGAAAGGCGCCTAAAAATCTTCCCTTTTGGCAAATTGGAGCTATACATTGCCATATTGTTGAGAACAGCCCTCAGTAGTGCATTGCAGGGTGGGAGGAAATGGAAATGGGAAGGCACGGAGTTCCGTTTATGTCACGGTGACTAAGTCTAGCGATGTAGTGTACAATGTGACAACAGTCAGCATGGGGAAAGCTTATATGCCCGTTGTTACCTTGGTGTGATTGTTCCTATAGCTCTCAGAAGACAGAACTGGAACGTGAACACACACACACACACACGCACACACACACACACACACCTCAATACTCGGCCTTGTGCTATAAAATGACAGTTCTAAGGAGGATATTTCTTTACTTTTCCC